AACATTTATTTTGTCCCCTTCAAAGTAATCTCCTCCCACTGCAATCCACTTATACTAATATTTTTTCTATCCTTGAAACATGCTTTAAAGTCATTTTTGTGAAACCCCTTCAGGGGTCTCAGCGAATTTTGCTTTATGACATTAATCGACTCAAAACAGTGACCACAAAGCAGAAATTTTAGTCAAGGATACAGGAAAAAATTCTTTATGCATAAAGGAAACATTTAAAAATGATAGCAGTGCCCTCTTGTACATATGCAGTTTAAATGAACCATTTCCAATACTTTTCCATCATAGTAGTATTTGTAACTTTTTGATGCACAAATATATTCAATCATGAATAAAACCTGATTTCACGGTCAGGTTTGCTTCTCATAAAACTATAGTTTTTGAAATTATCTTAGGAAACAATCAAATTGTTGTTTGATTTCTTTCAACTTTGCCAAATTCAAATTATCAAATTTCTAAGAACTAAGTCAAAATTGTACCAGCAAATTTAATTTAAGCTAATAGTTGTTGACAAATTTTGAATATTTAATTGATAGCAACACTTGAAGTTTGTAGCTTTTATAACATGTTATATAAACAATTGATAATGATGAAATATAAATGACTTTTGATTTAGTTACTGCCTTAAAAAGATCCAAGTAATTGAAATTATGAAAAGATATACTACTTAATATAATTTTATATTGTGAAAAATAGAAACAAGGTAAAATATTGGATTAGTTTTCCATATAATTGCATATTTAAATCCTTCATTTAGTAGCAGTCTTCTTTTTTTGATAATCTGGCAATCTAATTTACATTAAATTAATTATTCTGGTTATTACTATTATTTTGTTCAGTTATTCTTAAGATAAACCCAAATAAAATTATTCAAGAATTTTGAACTACAGTTGAACCTGTCTATCTCAAATCTCAAGGAAAAAATTTGAGATAGACCAGTTTTGAGATAAAGAGGTAACAGTAATAGACTGATTGGCGGTATGATATTTTAAAATACCACAGCAAGTACAGTTTATACCTATATTGGATATAAATAAAACATTTTTGATATACCTTAACAGAACTAGCTTGTCAATAGTTTCAGATACCTGACTTTCTTCAACCAATAAGACACAAGCTAAACGTGTGTCCTTTATGTCCTAGCCCTAATTATGACTTATTACATTTCATTTTTAAAATAGTTTACTAACTGTGTTTTCAGTATTTTTTCATATCATTTAATTGCTTAAAACTGTTTTATCAATCAATGACATTTGATAGCATTTATTTATTTAATGAATCTAAAAATCACTTTAAAATATTATATTTGAAAATAACAAAATTTTGATTTTACTGAGAAACACTATTAGTACACAAATTTAATGACTCAAACTTAATAATTATTACAGCAAAGAAGTAAGGATAGTTTGTAAAGTCAAACAAGTGTGATAATTAAAAAAGGATTTCGTTGACCAACAAATGCACCCTGCAAAAACACGCATAAAGTAGATGGAAAAATGAATTTATTACATGCGAAAAAGTACAGGTGCAAAGGTGTTCCAACTCTAGGGGAATATTGATTAACAGTCATCCAAATCCAGTTGTTGGTAGAATAATTATAAAAATTATCATGATCTGTATAAAAAGGAACCAAAAATAATAATTACAAAAATTTTTCCTTAATTAATACTAATTTATATCTAGAAGGAAATAGGATATAGGGAGTGAGAAGTAGCAAATATGGCAAGTAGTGCAAATGTAGCAAAGTAGGATAAGAAAGAATATCCAGGTAATGCAAATGCCATTCAGTTACTGTGAGGGGACACAGGAAAGCTTTTTAAACACAAAATTCTAGCTTCTGTTTTCCTTTTCCTCAGTTCTTGAAGATTTTTGTACATTTGATTTTGATAGCCAGTCATACAATTGGACTTGTCAAGCTGAAACACTGACTCTAACATGCTAACTTTGAGACGGATATTTCAAAGTTCCTGCTCAAAGTTCTGACTTCACCCAGCTACTCGAGCACTGGACACTAATGTTTCTCCTTTCATCGTCCTCTCTCTTTGAGTGCCAACTCAAAAGTGACTTCCCTTTGCCTCATATACTCCTCAGGTAAATTCATACACCTTATGTTGGCAAATCCTAGAAAGTTACCCTCATCTCCAAGAAAAAATGAAGAAGATTAGAAAATTTTCAAAAGAACAAACAGGAAAATGGCATTTGAACAGAAGGACAAAAGCAGACAATATGGCATGCAGCCACACAAGTTAGATGAGAATGATTATCATTGTTATTCTTTCTTTCACTAGACATTGTGACTAATTTGTTTACAACAAAATGGCTATTTCTAAAATTAAAATTACTGGTGTATTCTTATCCAAAATAATTTTTTTAGATTTCTTAACATGAGCAGTTATTTGTATCATTTCACCTTTTGGTCCACTATTTATACACTCAAAAATATTTTTAAAAACACCAATATTGCCATACACCATTTTCTTCATAATGTAAACTAACTTTCCTTCATAAATTTCATTAGTGTTTTGTTTGAAATGTACTTTATGACAGACTCATAAGTAATTTGTTTAACTCATTCAACTTTACAAATGTATCCTAAATTCTAATGATAAGTTAAACTTCAATTATAATTATTAGAACATTTTAATTATACCAATTCTGGAGCTTATAAAGTGAGAAATCAAGTCATGTTTTAGATATTAGATTTGATTAATTTAAAAAAGTTTTCCTATTCTTAATTTTTTCAAATCATAGATGAAGTCAACTGTGACAAGAACTGTTTATATCTTCTTTTCTTACTTACTTTTAAATAAAAATTTATAATTTAGAATATGATTTTATAAACGAATATACAGTAAATATTACAACAAAAGTCAGTATTTATATTCTAGTAGTGAAGAGTTTCTATCATTTCAGGGTGAATTCAGGGTAAGCACAAACACACTTCTTGATTTAAAATAGTTATAATTTATTGGAATATGTTTATACTGTAAATATAGTGATACATTAACTCAAAAAATTTATTCTCTCTCTCACAAAATCTCTGTGCACTCATCTCACCACCAGAGAGCTGTGAAACCTAAGATGACACTTCCCCATTGCAATGCAGCTGGTGAGTGATGGAATATACTAAAACAAACAGTGCTGTGACTATGCAGTGTGCTTTCAAATACAAATTTAATATGGATTCACCTACTGTCCATTTTGAAGTGGTACAATAATTTCATTGAGAAAGGATGCATCTGTGATCAGTTTTCTCTAATCACAGATGAAAAGAACATGTATCATGTTCATGTTGATCATGTCAGAGAAGTCTTTTTGAGTAGCCCCAATAAAATCAATGTGCAGAGCTAGCTGAGAATTACACATCCTGCAAAGCATGTTAAGCAAGATTTTACACACTTTTAGTTTCATCCTTAGGCTGTGTACACATTAGGCATTTTGAAACACACACTTTTAAAGAACCAAGAGTTCCACATAGATATACACATTCAAATGCACGCTTCTGGCCAAATGCGTGTTGATAGATTTTGGTTAGAATGCATGATTTGAGATACATCTGCTGCCATGTTGTTGTACATTCGATCGCGTGCTTTCGGGTAGAGTGGACACATGTTGGCCGAAATGGAGAACGATCATTTCGATACTGATCTATTTATTGATGAAATCCAAAAGAGACCAGCCATCGTCAAATGATTTTATAGACATTCTAAATAATTAAAAAACTTGGGTTCATATTGTCTTAGTTTTGGATACAACATCACAAACATTCCATGCTCAGTCTATCTCATAATATTGGGTGCACCCAAAATTCTCTTTGCCTCTGCCATCATCTTTTATAGCGACGATAGAAGAGCCACACACAAGCAATTACTTTCACGTCCATTTCCAAACTAAGCCAGAGCGAACAGTTGTTGAATGCCGAGCTAAATGTGCGGTGTGTACGCTGCTAATGTGCATTTAATGCAACGCCCAACACCTAATGTGTACTAGCCCTTACAAACTGCAATTGGTCCAAAAGTTACACCTGCAAGACAATGAAATGCAACTTCAATTTTGCAGGAATCACCAGCATTAACAGTAAATAATAATAACCTGTTGTCAAACATCACTTTCAGTGATGAGGTGACTTTCCACTTAAGTAGAAAGGTCAACAGGAACAATCTGAGAATTTACGGACCATTCTGGAGGTTGAACATGACTCTCCAAAAATTAATATTCTGTGCTCTATCAGAATATTTTGTGCTCTATCAGATTGTATTTTGTACAATCCATTTATCTTTGAGGGACAAACTATTACTGGCCAAAGTTACCTGGAAATTCTAACCAAGTGATTGATTCCAGAACTAGCTGCTGAGGGTGATAACTACTACTTCTAGCAAAATGGGGCACCATCACATTGGCATCTCACTGTCTGCAAATTTCTCAATGAGCACCTGCCAAACAAATGGATTAGCCACACTGGAGAAAATGACCAAGTATTCTGCAAGTGGCCTGAAATCACCAGACCTAACTGCGATCTTTTTCTTCAGAGATATAGAGTGTATGTACTGTATCTCCACTATCTGCAACCCTGGATGGTCTGCACGAATGCTTCGCTAAAACTGTAAACTTAAACATGCCAGATATGCTGCAGAGAGTCTGGTCCAAGCTAGATTATTAGATGCATCGATGCTGAGTAATGGTGGGGAGCACATTGATTGTGTGAGATACCAACCAATACCACATGAAACTTTGTGTGTTGATGCAAGTTTAGTCACCAATGTATAAGAATATTCCAATAAAGTTATATTCTATATCTGTTGGAAATCAAGGACTGTTTTTTTATGCTCAACCTGTATGTAGTTTTTTTAATTTAAGTTCATTCATATTAGAAATTCTTTCAAAATTATATAGCTCATTTTTAATCTAGTATACTTAAGTATTTTTTGATTTTCATATAATTTGCATAAAAGTCTGACTTTCATTCACATAAAAATTATTTTATTATAAAATTATAATTTACCTAGACATGATGATCGACTATTGGACCTTTCCATAATGGCACGTTTACTTGGATTATTTAGGAGGGATCGCTTTGCCAATGATATGTCTGCTGTTACTCTAGTAATTATAATCCTTCCTTCAAAGCGATGCTTCAAGAAGTCGAAGAGAGCTTTCTGCATCATGTCCGTGACCTCATAGCCCTTTAGGGATGGTCCAACTAGAACCACAGGCCGCATTGAAGGCACTACATCATACGGGGGAATGTTCTCTGACTAAGAATAAAAGTAAATCTATGTAGAACTATATTAAACCTATATTTATTTCTAAAAAGTGCAAAACACATTTAGTTATATTTAGAGGATGTCTATTAATTATGTGTACAATTTTATGGGGAAGAAGGATTGTGAAAAGTATATTGTTATACTTAATGGAAGGCCTCCCCCTCATATCAAGTTAGTGAATTACACACAGACCATTAGAATATATGAAAAGGCTTCAACAACACATGTTTGAAAGAAAATTTTATAAACATCACAAAATCACTTAATAAACTAGTAAAAACACAAAAAATATTTTATGCTACAAACATTTTCTTTTGTCAATGAATATCATCAGATAATCTCAAATATAAACTGAAAGAACATATTTTAAAATTAATAGAACAGATCCAAAATTCAAAAAAATTTAAAAATTGACATGCTCAAAGCCATCAAAGTTTTATATCTGTTCAAGCAATGCATGCCAAGCTGTAGTGAGAGAGATTCATTCTCTTTAAAATTAATTCTTTGCCTTTCTTAATCACCTTGTAAATCTCAAATGCCTCAAAATGTTTCAATCATACCTGGTCTGTTGTGATCTAATATGTTAGTGTCATGAAAGTCAGCACAGACACATTCTTCCCTCGCATATGCAGCTAGTACTGTGTTGGCCATTTTCTTTTTGATATTATATTGGTGTTCTTTAATTCTCATGGCTAGACCTCTGGCCATGGCACCAATATAAACAAGTGATCTGTCCACTCTTTGGTCACAAAATGGGATGGAGTAAACACCTGGCCAGATTATTGTCAACTAAGTATTTGTCATTTCTTATGATTAAAAAGATATTAGGAGGTCTCCCATAAATGATCTTAACCCTGGCCATTCTAGCAATCTCTCTATACATATTAGAAAGCACTCAATTGTATGTGAGCACCACAAAGTTACTTTTGTGCAAATTATGTACATTTTTGAGACTATATTGTTATTGTACCAAAGACCTAATAAAACCTGGAGAAAAACCATGCTGCTTTGCCACTCACATGATTTGTTGCCTTCTCCCCTCTGTTCTTTGCTGACAACAGTGCACAAATGATCTCCAATGTACAAAACACCGCATTGTATGAGAAATGGGTCATGCCAATTGCATGGTATATACAAAGGAGAAAAAGTTTCTTTGCAATATGAATCCAGTGGAAATGTTTTGGCATTCTATCCTGGTCGATATATCTAAAAAACTGTGCTTCCTGGTCATTGACCTGTTCTGATCATAGTGTAAGTTTTATTTCCTCAACATGAAGTTGAGTTAACATAAAAATCTGACTCTTCATTTTTGTTACAATCACTTGTTTGATTTTTTGCGACAATTATATATTTTTCTGATTTGTGGTATTATTTACAATATTAGTTTACTAGGAAATACAGGGAAGAGTTCTTCAGAGGTTCATCGTACATTCGCTGTCTTCTTCTAACCATTGGCTCGATTCCAATCCTATTTGTTGGATTCCGATGTTTCCGTTATAAGATCCAGTTGTAGCTGATCACCTTTACCTGCTTCTCCAAATGTGCCAAGGAGGAAAGAGAGGTCTACCATCGACCCTTATTCCTTATATACCCGTTTCCCTGCTGGGTTTATTGCCGTTCCAGGCCTAATGGGTGATGAAACATTCGGGAAACTTACAAACAAAAGGCTTTGTGTCTGACAATTGAATAATATAAAAAAAAAAAAAAAAAAAGGGGTTT